TTTTTTGCAGAACTGGGGATTGAACTCAGGCCCTTGTGCTTGCCAGGCAAGTGCTTATTCTACTGAGCCATCTCCCCAGCCCTGCTCTCTGCTTTCTGGATGCCGAAGGCTGAGTAGCTTTCTTCTGCCATGTCCTTTCACTGTGATGTTTCTGCCCTGGAGCCCGCCAGCCACGGACTGAACCCTCTGAAACCTGAGCCAAATAGTTCTCTCCTCTCAAGTTGTATTGCTGAGGATATAGATCAGTGGATATAGCGAAGTGCCTGGCGAGCACAAGGTCCTGAGTTCAATACCAGGCACCAAACAAAAGAGATGGCTTCCATCAGGTTGTGAGTGTCAAGATTTTTGTCTCCACAATGGAAAGCTGACTGATATTTGCACTCTTGTCAGCCAGCAAATGTTGTGTCATTTGCAAACACTAAGAACCTCCTGATTTTTACTGTGTATTACTGAAATATTATTGTAGTTCAATGGAGATTTTTACTTTTTACATTTTTTCTTGATATCCCTCTCCCTCCATATCAAAGCTCCAAACCCGAAAGCAAAGACCAAGTGCAAATCTGTTCACTTGGAAGTTGGTTGTACGTCTTGCTTATCTCTGTACTGTACTGCCTGAGCACAAGTCCTTGGGCTTACTTTGGAGGTGTTTATGCTACTAAACACTCAGTGTGTGATTCTGAGCCACACACAGAGTCTACACCTGTACCATCCAAGCCAGCTGGAGAATTTCTGTGACTGGGTCAGTCTCATGAGAAGTGTGGACTGGCATGCCCACCCTATCCCCATTCCTGCAAAACATCAGTGGACTTTCCATGAAAGAGTCCATTGAGCAAATAAACTTGTGAAATACTGTGTATTTTGTTTGTTTTAATTTTTATTTATTTATTTATTTATTTATGTATTTGGTACAGGGTCTCGCTATGCAGCTCAGACTCCTGGTGATCCTCCTGTCTCAGCCTCCCCAGTGCTGGGATTACAGGGTGCACCACCACGCCACGTTTCATGGCTGGCATGGCATATGGTACTGGGGTCGAACTCAGGATCTTGCTCTTGCCAAGCAGGCACTTTACTGCCCAGCTATCTCCCCAGCCCATGTATTTCGAAACCTAACAGTATATACTGATGAGTTTAAGGCTCTTTGATGTCCTGTAGTAAGTAAGTCTTGACCCAGAATCACCCAAACATTAGACAGGAAGTTACTTTTATGTGTCATTTTATGGAGCGTGTTGTTTTGGGATTGTGGCTGAAATGCTGGCTTACCTGTGTTTGCTGAGCAGAGATCTTAGATTAGGAGGCAGTGTTATAGCAGAGATTATTATGGGCTTGAAACACCCTTCCATGTAGAACCAACTTCCTTAAAGGCCCAGAGAAGCTGCAGTGCACCAAGGAGTCTTTAGACCTGGTGCCCCGCCTCCTCATCAGCTTGCCAGGGCTGCGAGGGTGGCAGGGATGCACCATGTAGTGGTGTGTGCCCACTCCCTCTTCCCTCTCACTTAGTCATCTAAGCTGGTGTTATGCTAAGGTGTGAAGAATGGGCTCGTTCTCAAGAGGCAGCCCAGCCAGGTGTCCAAGGATGTGTCAAGGTGGGCTAGTCCTTGACTTGTCCCTAGAATGTGTTACTAGTAAGCCTTGGCCAGCATGGTTGGCATGGTGTGAGATTCAGCGTGACCATGAGCCGAGCCAGTGCTACACTGGGTAGCGTTTGCTCTGGGGCCATGCATTCTTCGAAGAACTTTACACAGGTTAGCTCTTTGCTTTTCTCCACTTCCTTAAGAAATAGGAGACAGAAATGAAAAAGTAAGTAGTCTGGGTTTTCATTAAAAATTCGAGGTCTTAAGTAAATAGGTGTTTCTCAGCCCTCTGTATCCATAGCTTCTGTATCCACAGATTTGACCAACCACAACTTGAAAATATTCAGAGAACAAATAGTGTCTGTCCTGAACATGTAAATAATTTATTTTGTTGTCATTAGAACCTTAAGAATATGGTACAGCAACTACTGATGGTGTATCAAGTATTACAGTTAACCTAGAGGGGATTAGAAGTAGGTTCTGTGCAATCCAGTGTTATTCTGACATAAATGACTCTAGCATCCATGGATTTTGGTGCCCAAGGGAGGTGGCTAGTACTCATCCCTCATAAATAGCAAGGAGTGGGGGCTGGTGAGATAGCTCAGCAGACTAAGTGCCTGCTTAGGCAAGTGCAAAGACCCAGGTTCAATCCCTGGCACCACATGCTGTGCTCCCCCTCACACCGGGCCCACTGAGTTGGCCACCAAGAGCAGGTATGGTAGTGCACACCTATGTAATCCCAGCACTGAGGAAGCTGAAAACAGGAGGATCACTATAAATCTGAGCTGCGTAGTGAGACCCTGTACCAAATACATACATACATACGTACATATCAAGGAATGAGTTCACCTTTAGGCACATTTCCAAGAAGTTTGGTTTTGTTAGAACTTTTATTCTTCTAGAATATAAACTTATTTCCTGATTGTGTGTTTCCTCTTATTTTGATGTTGTATATTTATGTCTGTATTAAAAAAAAAAAAAAAAAAAAGCAGACAGCCAGAAGCAAGCTAGTGCTGTTCCTCTTCAGTCATAACGTTTTGCCCTTTGAGGAGCTATGGGACATTCATTTGGGAAGTAGCCACGCTGCTTATTTCTCAGGGACAGTCCTGAGTCACCACAGAGCTCCAGGGCTGTAGGAGGTAGGCCACAGAGTGAACTCTAGCTGATGATTTTCTGTCCACCCACCTCCAAGTTAAATACAGAGTTAGGGGAGATAGCTCGGCAGTCACAGTGCCTGCCTGGCAAGCACAAGGACCCCAGTTCGATCCCCAGTACCACATGTATTGCCAGCCGTAGAACCCTGGGCACACTGAGCTGGCCACCAAAACTGGGCATGGTGGCACACACCTGTAATCCCAGTGCTGAGGAGACTCAGACAGAAGGATCACTAAGAGTCCAAGCTGTGTAGTGAGACCCTGTACTGAAGAAATAAATAAAAGATTTTTTTAAAAAATTAATAAATATAGAATGATAAAATAAATCATCAAAACTAGATTTACTACTCTTTTAAAATGCTCTCTTAAAGGATGTTATCAGAACCCACCCAAAAAAATTGTTAGTTATTTATTTGTTTACTTAGTTAACAAAAAGATCTATGACAGGGCCCAGGAGATGGCTCAGTGGAATAAACGCTTCCCTGGCAAGCGCAAGGGCCTGAGTTCAATCCCCTGTTCCACCAAAAAAAAAAAAAAAAGATCTATGACAAATTTCATGGGCTTATGATACAGTGAAGGAGAAAATCCCTCATCTTTTAAGGTCATATTTTGACTAATTTCCGATCAGCATCTTGATGGCCACCTTCTGTTTCGATTTAGAGATATTCTCTGGGGGGCAGCCCAGCTGCCCCCTTGGTCAGAATGGTGGGATTGACCTTGCCTCAAGGACCCAGCTGGTGCCATTCTGTGCCATCTCTAGAGGTGACTGCTTTGCAACTTGATAGCCAGGGAATGACGTTACCACCAGACTGTGCCGTGATTGCTCATACCTGACCCCATGTTACCTGACTTTTCTCTGTTTTTCTCTCCGAAGTCACATTTCTAAAATTTGGAGGGAAGCACACGTGCTTAAGGCTTTGTTTCAGCCTTCTCAAGCCCAACAATTTCCATTTGAACAGCTAACTCCAAACACAAAATTTGTTTCCTACATCAGAGAAAATTGTGATTGTGGAGATTTGGAGACAAAAGGAAAAAGTCATAAAAATGATTCGTTTTGGTTCTTTTTTCCCCATGGTTTGGTTTTGCATTTTCTTTTCTGAGGCAGGATCTTACTCTGTAGTTTGGTCTGGCCTTGAACTCACTGTGTAGCTCAGGCTGGCCTGGAACTCTTGATCCTCCTGTCTCAACCTCCTGAGTGCTGACACTATGACATATACCCCAAAACTGACTCCCCTTATACCTCACTGTTGCATGGCAGTGACTTTAAAACAGCATAAATAAAATTCAACCAAAGTTCTGGAAGTTGAGCAAGTTTTGCCTTTGTCACGCATAAATAAAAGAAAAGCAGGGCCAGGGAGATAGCTCAGTGGTATATGTACCTGCCTGGCAAGTGCAAGGTCCTGAGTTCAATCCCTGGTACCAAAAAAAAAAAAAACCTTTTAAAAGAAAATTAAAAAAAGAAAAAGAAAAGAAAAGCAGTGTCAGTGCCCTCCTCCATGTGGATTTTATTCAAAATTCTTATAATTTCAAAGAACGGGAGGCCCCTTGTGTTGGCTCAAAGGCAATTGTCAGGTGGGCAGTGTCCACGGACAGGGTGGCTCTAGGACATTGTGCTGTGGTGCTTCTGCACTCAGGAGGCACTGCTTCGTGCTTCCTTTCTTCCAGAAGCTTCTCTCCTGACCATTGTTCAGGGCCACGTGACCCTAGTTTACCCAGGCCCCTGAGGCCAGAAAGAAAGGCAACCTGTGGAAATGTTGTCTCTGTCCCCGCAGGCTGTGGGTGGGTCAAGTTTCCCTCGGAAAGAGTTATGGGCCAGCAGTCCCGCTGCTGAGACCTCAGTACTTCATTTCTTTTTGTCTTCTCTGTCTCCAGAAAGAATTCTCTGAAGAAGTCGGCCCTAACAGCAGCCGGGCTCAGATTTCGGTTCAAGTCTACAATGCCACGTTCTCAGTGAGGATTGCTGCTGTCACTAAAGGGGGCATTGGGCCTTTCAGTGACCCAGTGAAGATCTCCATCCCTGTGCAGGGTAAGAGCCCTCGCTGCTGGGTGGAAAGTGGCAGGTACTGCCAGCTGCCAAAGGGTAGCCTGTAACATGGCAGCTGATTCAAGAATGAAAAATAAGGACCCCAAAGAACTTTTGTAGGGATAAGAATTGCTGTCATAACGTACTTCTGCCTCACAGAATCCCCAAGTCTTGCTAGCTTTACAGTCAATGGCGATAACGTTTTAGGTCTCGGTCCTTTTGGAATGCCAAATCTGACTTGTTGCATTTACTGTAAATGAGAGACACATGACTGAATTTCAGGCAGCCGACGCTTAGCTCTCTGGGGCTGGCACTATTTGTTTGCCAGTGTTTGTTTTGCTGTGTTTCAGGCCGTGCTGCTGGCCTTGTTTTTACCCACTCAGCCCCTGGGTAATGTGCTTTGTGACTCGGTCTGTACAGAATGTCACGTGCTTCTGACAGAAGCCTGGGCTGACTGAGCTAAATGTCCAACCATGCATGTGCCTTTGTGTGTTGTGGGAACCTCTCTGGCAAGGTGCCACTGTGGCGCCCTCGGTGACCCAAGTGCTGTGCTTGCTTTATAGGCTGGTGGAGCCAGCCACCTGTCCCCTGGCACAGGTCAGCCCCGAGTCATTTGATGTTATGCCAGCGTCATAAATCCCGCACGCAGACATCTGTATCAGTGTGACCTATATGCTTATGCGCTCTTGTCACATGCAGTCCAGGCGGCAGGACTTGGGGACACGGTTGAGTTCTTGTCTGTCTGTGCTCAGTGACCCTCGTGCTGGTTTCCCTCTTTGTGCCACGTTGGAATAGTGTCACGTCCCTGTGGTCTGTAGGCTCAGCACCTAAGGAGTGCTGGTCACTGGCAAGGGGGACCAAGTAGAAATCCAAAGACAGTGAGATTTTGACTCTGAAGAAACAACAACAACAAAAAAAAGTCAGGGCTTAAGCCTGTAGAACATTCATCCCAAGCTTAATAAACGGTACAATTCGTAAAAGCTTTGCTAGGCAGCCAGTCTGTCTTTGTTTTGCACTGCTCCTGTATGTGCGAATACAAGTCACCAAGGTTCCCAACCTGTATCTGTCCAGTTCCAACTTTAGTTAAACCTCGCCACTGGCTTTCACTCCATAAGGCACTCGGCAGATGCAGAGGGGCTTGATGATTGTGACCCATCATGTCATTCCTCTCAAAATCTGTCACTGACTGCTGCCGCATTCTGTTCATGCATGTCCTGCAAAGGCTCGTGGCTGTGCTATGTCCCTGTGTCCTGGTGACAAACCTAATGACTTCTTACTAAACTGGAGCATTGAAAGAGTGAGTTGGTGAATGAAGCGCAGCAAAGAAATGAAAACTAGTCATGCTGGAGGTGAACTCTGACCTGGATGTGGGGGACTGTAGGATGCTGCAGCTGCTGGCGTCTGGTAGACTCGCTGGTGGACGGAGTAACTCAGGGAAGCTCAACCTACTGGCATGAATACAGTGGCTGTGACAAGAAGGGTAGAAGCCTCCTAAAGAAAGTGACACCTGCAGAAAACTTCCCTTCTGGCCTGCAGGTGTGGCTTGGGGTGCAGCACCTGCCCACCTCATGCAGGGCCCGGGCTCCATCCCCAGCACCGCAGGACAAAAGGAGAGAAGGAAGGGAAGGGAGGGAGGCAGAGCAAAAAGGAACACTTTATAGGAATTCTCAGTGATGCTTTCCAACTTCAAAAGCACAAAATAAAAAACACTGGAAGTCATCCAAACTTGAAAAGGAGTCTGATAATTCTCTAAAACACAGAGCATATGTTTTCTGTGCCGTAAATTTCAGTAATAGGAAGACACACTGTTCAGACTCCTCCTGATAAGATTCGTCTTAATAAAGAAATAACACTTCAATCCTTAATGTTTCGAATTATAGGCACTGATCAAATATTTCATTTTTTTTATTTATTAATTTGGCACAGGATCTTCCTACGCAGCTTAGACTCGTAGTGGTCCTCCTGTCTCAGCCTTTCCAGCACTAAGATTACAGGCGTGCACCACCAAGCCTGGTTTCAGTGGTCAGCACAGCGGCATGGCATGTGGCACGCGGGATTGAACCCGGGTGCTTGCGCCTGCCAGGCAGGCACTTAGACCACTGAGCTGGCTTGCCAGCTTACAAATATTTCTTTTACTTTTATTTTGATCCTGTACATTTATAATCAACATGAGGAATTCTCCACTGGTAATTTGATTATGTTTAATTGCATGTATTTATGGAGTGTGTGATATTTTGACACACATATGCCTTGTGAAATGATTGACTCCATCTAGTTTCATTGTTTATTAAGAATGCTGGGAGTGGGCATGGGGGCGCATGCCTATAATTCTAGTATTTTGGAAGACTGAGGCAGGAGAAGCACGTGTTTAGGTCTCACTTGGGCAATGTGGTGAGATCCTTTCTCAAAATGAAAAACTTTAAAAGCTGGGAAATATAGCTCAGTGCAAAGGCTGTGGGCTCAATCCCAAGTGCCACCGAGAGAGAGAGAGAGAGAGAGAGAGAGAGAGAGAGAGAGAGAGAGAGAGAAAGAAAAATACTCTGTGGTTTCAGCTTGCACAGTGAAGATTGTCTACATTTATAGATCATGAGATTAAAGGATTAGCTGGGCATGGTGGCACACACCTGTAATCCAAGCACTCTGGAGGCTGAGGCAGGAGGATCCCATGAGTTTGAGGCCAGCCTGGGCCATATAGTGAACCCAAGGCCAGCCTGACTACACAGAGAGATCCTGTCCTCCCCTCCACCCTCTGCCTCTAAAATTAAAGGATGAACTTAGTTCTAAAAGCTTTTCACCACCCTTTCCTACTAAAGCCAATGTTATCTGCATGTTTCAAATCTCAAAGGAATGTTAGAACTGACTTCACTGGTGTTTTTCCAGGTGGGGTAGACTATGCCCCGTCATCGACCCCGGCCCCTGGCAACACCGAGCCTGTGCTCATCATCCTGGGCTGCTTCTGCGGATTTATTTTGATTGGGTTGATTTTATACATTTCTCTGGCCATCAGAAAAAGAGTGCAGGAGACAAAGTTTGGGTAAGTTTCCCCGTGGCGTAACCTGGACTAGTGACACTAAAGAGGTGGCTAGGCTGAGTGCCAGAGCCCCCCTTGGCCCTGCTGCTCACGCTGCACCCTAAAGGGTGTTGAGTTTGTGTGCGCCCTATGGCCAGGCAGCTTGCAGACTCGGGCCACTTCCGGCAACAGCAGCCACCCATAAGAGCAGGAAACGGTGCTTCTATAGAGAGGATGGCCTTGCTGTTAAATAAACATTTCTATGGCAAGTCTAAAAAAAGATTCTCAGGAACACACACCTAGAATCCCAGAATTCTGGGAGGTTGAGATGGGAGGATCTCAAGTTTGAACCAACCTGAATAACTCAGTGACTTAGTGAGACCCTGTATCAAAATTAAAAAAAAAAAAAAAGAATTAAGGGTATGGATATAATTCAGTGTCAAGGCCATGGCCTTAATCCCCAGGACTGAAAAAAAAAAATTAGAGCTAGAGCTAAGTCCTGAGCACTCTAAATCTGAAAATCTGACATCCAAAATGTTCCAAAATCCAAAACTTTTTTCCGTGCCCTTAATGGTTCTACAGCATGAAACTTTGTTTTATGCAGAAAATTATCACCAATGTTGTATAAACTTTACCTTTGAGCTCTGTGCATAAGGTATGTATGAGATATAAATCAGTGTTGTGTTTAGTCTTGTATCCCACTCCCCCAAGACATCTCATTATGTATATGTAAATATTCCACAATCTAAGATGTCCTGAAATTTGTGCTGGTCCCAATCATCCTGGACAAGGGATACTCAAATATATATATTCACCAAAGCATTAGCAACTCTGACAGGTATTACTGTGGGTGACTCGGCTTCCTTCCTTCTTTCTTTTCTTCTCATACTTTGCACATTTCCTGTAATAATCAGTTTTTTTATAACAGAGAACCTCAGGTCTGGAGAGATAGCTCCACAGTCTAATCACCTGCCTGCCTGGCAAGCTGAAGAACCCAGGTTCGATCCCTGGTAATGCATGCCATGCCAGCCCACCCTGAGCACACTGAGCCAAAACTGGGCACGGTGGCACACTCTTGTAATCCCAGCGCTGGAGAGGCTGAGATAGGAGGATCAGTACGAGTCCAAGCTGTGTAACGAGACCCTGTACCAAATAAATAAATGCCAAAAAAAAAAAAAACCCGAGAACCTCACATTTTAGTATTCAAATTAGGGATGGAGGCTCTTTCTCTTTTCTATGCATCTTTTATAGCAAACACTGGTTACATTCCAACAAAAGCAAGAAGCTGTGTTAAGGCAGCTTAGGAAAAGAAGGCTATATCTAAATGTTGTTTCAAGATCTCAGTTTTCACTCCAGGGCTTTGCAGGGGGTTGGAATTCCTTGAGATGGACTCTATCAATGATGGGTCAGAAGGAGGTGTTTTGTACCAGGCAGCTTGTTGACAGCTAGGAATGGCGCAGAGTGGGGGTGGGAAGGTGGCTGCGCTGACTCGGCGGCCCCCTGTCACTGCTCTGCCTGCAGAATGCTCTCAGAGCCTCCTGCTCCTTCCTAGACTTCCCGTGGGCAAAGGAAGAGCTTGCCGGTGAATACCAGACCTTCTCTGTGTCCATTGTCTAGGGGTTCATTCTCTACAGCCCCTGGAACTCTTTGCTTATAACTACAATATCATAGAATATAAGTTCACACAATGACTCTTTTTAAAGGCATGAACAAGGGAGCCGGCCAAATAGCTCAGCGGATTAAAGCACGTGCAAGCAGGCGCAGGGGCTGGGGATTCATGGCAGCCCTAGAGCTGCTGTGCCGGCCCTGACCCTGGGGTGTGCTGAGACAGCAATTGAGACTGGGTGTGGTGGTGTGTACCTATAGTCTCAGCTCTTGGGAGGCTGTAAAAAGGCAGATCACTAAGAGTCCGATCTAGTAGTGAGACCCTGAACACCCTGTAGACCCTTCCCTAAAAATTAAAAAAAAAAAAAAATGTAAAAACTAAACTAAATGCTCAACATAGAGTTGACCCAAATGCGTCGCAGGTCCTAGGTGTGGCATGCAGTGCACCATGAGACAAGTTCACAGAACTCCACAGAAGGTATGAGAGTGGCTCATACATACCCTAGCACCGAGGCACTGGGGGAGGCTGGGGGTCTGTGGGGACCAACACCCTGTCACTAGGCACTAGCAGTTCACAGGGAGCCAGGCATAGTCAAGCAGTCACACCAATAAACATACAATGACAATTGGGGTAAATTCTGTATAAAGCCATAAGAGTGCATACCAGGGTACACCGACTGTGTTAAGAAAGTGAAGGAAGGCCTCCCTGCACAGGTGACTGACACCGGCCTCAAGATCTAAAGAAGAGCAGGTATTCCTTAGGTGAGGGAAAGGGAGCCAGAACAAAAACACATGCAGAGGCCCTGTGGTGCCCAGAGCCCCCTGGAGGAGGGAAGCACTGGACGGAATTGTAACAGCTGGGTTCCAGCATTATTCTGTCACTTAAGTAAGCATTTTATCTTTTCTAGGCCTGGTGTTGTATGTCTGAATGTTCTGCAAGGTCACTACAGTTCTAATTGCTGGAACTCTGAATGGAGACTTTTATATTCAGTCAGCAATAAAGACATGGTCTTAAAATGCTGATGGTCTTAAGTATTAGTTGCAGAAAGTATTTGGTGTCATCAAGAGGAAATTCCTGGTTAATATTGTTAAAACAGCAGTTGTAGAATGATTCATAGGTATACAGTCCTGTCTTGACACTCAGTTCCTTTGAAACGTGTCCAATTTGGCACATTTTGAATGACAGTGGCTTCTTGGAGCTTTACAAGAAAGCTAGAGCTTGTCAGTGGTAGCTGCTTTGTGACTCACTGCTCTTTCCAGCCAAAACAATTTGTTTGGGACTCATCATTTCTAGTACCTCCCGGAGCTAAGCAATGACAAGGCCTGAGGTTCTGCTGTATTTGCTTGAGACCTCCTTATAGGTAGGATCACTAAATACAAAACAGAGAGCACAATGGTTAGGGCCGGCCAGATAGCTCAGCAGACTAAAGTGCCTGCTCAGGCAGATGCAGGGACCAGGGTTTGATCCCAAGCCTGCTGTGTTGGTCCCCCCCCCGGGGGGGGGGGCACGCTGAGCCTGAGACTGGGTGTGGTGGCACATGCCTGTAATCCCAGTGCTTGGGAGGCTGAAAACAGGAGGATCACTGAATCTATCTGTATAGTGAGAGCCTATAGACCATGTATTAAATACCAAAAAAAAAAAACAAAAACAAAAACACCACACACATGCACAGTAGCCAGTCTTGCCACTGGAGATCCTGAACTTCCAGGAGGCCACTCAGATGTGCAGCTAAGGTAACCTCAGAGAGATGAGATACAACAGCACAGCGATCTTGCGTTGCTTTTTGACTCTTTTACCAAGAGTTTTGAGAGCAGCACATAGCAATCCTGTTAGTCCCAAAAGCTTATCTTTCTTTGTTGCTGCTGCTGCTGAAGTCTTGGCCTTGGCTCCCTCCTTTCTTGCTTCCTTGAGGAAAAAAAATTCAATTTTTTAGGACATTCCCATGAAAATACGTTCATTCTGGTTTTAAAATTCATTGAAGACAATGTGCTAGACTGAGATTCTACCCATAGCAGCATGAAAAGTACATAATTTCTAAGAATAAACTCAGTAGATGTGCAAGAGCTTTTTGCAAAACAATTATTGAACTGTCCTGACAGTACTGAAAAGGACTTGAATACACACGGAGAGTTATATACTCTCCGTGTGTGTTCATGGATCGGAAAGCCCTACACTGTCAAGAGATCCTTTTGCCCCAAATGAACCACACATACAATGCAATTACCATCAGAATTGGGGCTGGGCTGTCGAACTGCGGCAAGCTGATGTAGGAATTCATCTGGAGCGCGGAAGTATGCACAGAGATCCAGGTGGAGGGGACTACTTGGTGCCTTCTAAATGCAAAACATGCTTAGAATTTGTGTAAACGGAGACAGCCCAGTCCATGGACAAGGTGTCCATTAGTAGGTAGGAATTGAATGTAGGTTACATGTTGAATTTCAGATCTGGAGAAAAAAAGAAAAAATTTTTTTAAAAAGCCAAGAGCCTATTCTGGGCACTGGAGAGAGAAAGAGGAAAAATAAGCAATTCAAACATGTGGTGCCCACATGTAGCTTATGGTAGTCTTGCATTTGAGAAATACAAAAGTAAATGGTTCATTTGAAATATTTCTTTTTCTTATTTTAATGTTTTTGGTTGTTACAGGGTCTCACTACGCAGCTCAGACTCATAGTGAGCCTCCTATTTTTAGCCTCCCCAGCACTGGGATTACAGGCATATGCCACTATGCCTGGATTCTGTGGCTGGCTCAGCCCGCCCCGAGGTGTGGGGTTGGTGTGGCATGTGGTGCCCAGGATCAAACTGCAGTCCCTGCACTGGTCTAAGCTTGCCTAAGCAGGCACTTTAGTCCACTGAGCTATCTCGCCATCCCGAAAATATTTCTATTCGCTAAGCCTCCATGGACTTGTTAATTTCATACCAAGATAGATCTTAGATATTAGCTGATTGAACCTCAGTTATGATATTCTGGAAAAGGTTGGGATTGAAAATTAAAGGATTTAAGTACGCTGATAACTCTAATATGTACCTTGCTACTTTGGAGTCAGTGAGGAACTAAAAAATAAACTAGAGTTAGGGAGGTAGCTCAGTAGCATAAGCGCCTGCCTGGCATGTGCAAGGTCCTGAGTTTGATCTCCGGTTCCAGAAAACAAACAAACAAACAAACAAACAAACAAAAAACCTAGAGGATTTTGTGATTGATAGGAGTCTGCTAATTCTTGGGAAAATCCTGGGAGAAGGAAAGTAGCCTGTGTCACTCTATTTTTATAGTGAAATGTCTTTTTTTTCCTCCACCCAGGACTGCATTCACAGAGGAGGATTCTGAATTAGTTGTAAATTATATAGCAAAGAAGTCCTACTGTCGGCGAGCCATTGAACTTACCTGTAAGTTGACTTTCATTTTTTTCTTTTTGGCCAAAGTTAAAATAGTGGGGAGCCTAGAAAAAAGGAACAGCAGACAGGTTTCTTTTCTTGTTTTGTTTTTTGTTTTTTCAGGCAGGGTCTCAGTATTAGGTCAGGATGGCCCTGAACTCGCTCGTAGGCTAGCCTCAAACTCGCAGCAATCCTCCTGCCTCCACCTCCCGAGTGCAGGGATTACGGGTGTGCACCACCACGCCCGGCTCAGCAGACAGGTTCCTAAGAAAAGCCAAAGGAGTTTGGGGATTGCTTTATCTGAGTGTGGTGCTGGGTTTCTGCTCCTGTAATCCCAGCACTCTCGGAGACCAAGATGGGAGGATCATAGGTTTGAGCCCAGCCTGGGTAATTTAGCAATTTAGTGAAACCCTATCTCCAAATAAAGTAAAAAGACTAGAGTGTAGCTCAGTGCAAAGGTCTTGGGTTCAATCTCCATTACCACCACCACCACAAAAATGTTTTTAAAATAAATAAATAAACCAGTAGATCCCTTTAATGTACAGATGTCAGAAACTAGCAAGTAGGTGGACATTGGCATGCACATCTCTGCTGGCTGAATTGGCTACTGGCAATCTGAAGTTAGGAAGCCAGGTTTCAGGATTCATAATGCCATGAAATGTGGAGGTATAGAGAAACCTTCTAGGCTATAGGAGATTGGGTGAAGGTTGGACGCTTTAAGGAAATAGCAAAGCAATAGCCATAATCTCAAACCTCACTTCCTGTTTTCCTGGTATCCAACTGGGAGAACAGTTTGCCAGTGTGCTTCGTAGCATTTATGGTTTGGACTTTGCTGAGTCCAAGACTGGAGCCTCTGGTCAAAGGAGGAGGAACAGATAACAGTGTTCTTGAGTAGCTGCAGAAGCAGTGTAGGAAGTGTGTATACATGATAGAATACAGCATGCTGTGAAATCAAAATTTGCTCCATACAGAATGCTAATATCTGTGCTTCTCTTATCTATATGTTGTGATATTTAGCTATCTCTATCCTTGCATTTTTAAAAGTTCTTTATTTAGATCATTTCTTGCTTTATCAAAGACATTACCATTTCTTTGATATTACCATTTGGGTAGTATTTTATTTTATTTTTTAGTACTGGGGATCAAACTCGGGACCTTATGCCTGCCAGACAAGTGCTTATTCCGCTGAGCTATATCCCCGGCTGTAATTTCTTTTTGAAGAGCAAATGTGTCATTTCTAATTACTCATATAGCGTTTCTTTCAAAGACTAACTCGTGTGTTAACTGTGGCTCAGACTGAATGATTTGCCAAATGACTACAGAATCATTCTCCCCACCCTGGTTAACTTTTCCTGTTGACAAAGTTATGCTGTTGCTGCATCTCTGCTGTGTACCTTATTGCATTACATTCCTTACGTAGACAATTTTCTCCAGTTTCCTGAAGGACCCCACTTACCACTTCCTGTGTCCTTGCTGGGAGGCACCTTATACCATATGTAGGACAACAGCTTGTTCTCTGGATGTTTCCTGTGGTCATGGGCCTCCTCTGGGCATAGGAGGGGGGCTGATGGCTCCTTATGTACTGTAGTTCTGGATATAAATAGTAAATAATCCAGCTGCCAATTGACTTGTTGTCTGTACTTTAAGTCAGGGTGAAACCCTTCTACGTAAGTCTGCTGGCTGCTGCTACTGCATCATGGGAAGAGAAACAGAGTTCTGATTCTTTTATAGTGGTTCAAAATTAATCTTAAAGGGGCCGGGGAGATGGCTCAGTGGAATAAGCGCTTTCCTGGTGAGCGCAAGGGCCTGAGTTCAATCCCTGGCTCCAAAAAAAAAAATTAATCTTAAAAAATTAAAAAAGAATTAATCTTGCCGTTAAGGACTCATTTTACTTACTTTAACTACAGTAGAATGAAGTGTGTTGTTTTAATATTGGCATTAAATGAATGAATGAATGAATGTAAAATTTTTTCAAGGTATGACTAGTATATAGAACTTTAAATATAATTCTATTTTAATGAAAGAAAGCACCCTGACAATCCTAATGTATGTGCTGTCACTTTTGTAGTACAAAGCTTGGGAGTCAGCGAGGAGCTGCAAAACAAACTAGAAGATGTTGTGATTGACAGGAATCTTCTAGTTCTTGGGAAAATTCTGGGGGAAGGTAAGCGGCTCACAGTAATTCTCTTAAAATGTGGGGTACGAAGGAGCAACTCAGAGGAATGTTTGAAATGCACACCGAATAGATAAAGCACCATTTAATGACTTTGAGTTATAATACCAATAGTTCTAACTAATAATTTACTATAGATTAGTGATTTTTGAAACTCAGGTTTGGTAGATGAAAACAGCCTCTGTTGTGCCTAGGACACAGAGTAGACTGGAAAAATATTAATTCCTTCCCTTCATTGCAAAGCATAAAATTTATTTATTTATTTTTAATGTATTTAGTACAGGATCTACAGTGTACAGGGTCTCACTACACAGATCAGATTTGTAGTGATTCTCTTGTTTTCAGCCTCCCAAGCACTGGGATTACAGGTGACAAGTGCTGGGATTACAGGTGCACACAATCAGACTCACTCTCGGTGGCCATCTCAGTGCACCCTGCGGGTGGGGCTGGCACTGCACACTGGGAATTGAACCCTGGCCATTGCACTCTGCCTAAGCAGGCGCTTTAGTCCGAGCATACAGTTTCTTTCTTGGTGTCCTATGCTTCTTAAATTTAGTCCTATATTCCTTAAGCTGACTGTCCTTGGCCTCTTCTTAAATATGAGGTATGAGCATAGCATATGGTAATTGATTAAATTTTTTAAACATCTGTTACAGTAAAAGGCACATTGCTCTGAATTCTCTTTAAAATACTCCCACTTCCTTTGAACACACTTATTTCTTCATTCTTACCACTTTCTGGAGCAGGTTGTTTTTTTTTTTTTTTTTTTTTTTTTGGTGGTATCAGGGATTGAATTTAGGACCTTGCGCTTGCCAAGCAAGGACTTATTCCACTGAGCTATCTCCCCAGGCCCTCTGAGGCCGTTCTGGAAGTCCTTTGTTGGGGATGCCCCTAGCTGTGCTGTTGAGCCTGGGCCTTGATGCTCCGAGTCGATTTACACATTCACACAGCGTGATCATTTTGACTTGCGGAAGAGCCAGAAGTCTCCTGGTACCAGATCCAGAGAATTAAGTGGGTGAGGAGAAAACGTAATGTTTTCATTTGGAGAAACTGCTGAAACGTGCTCAGTTCAAGACGTCAAGGCAGCTGTGAATAGAACCTCACGACAGAGCATTTCTAGAACTGCTTCAGAAACTGTTGCAAAAGATGGAATAATTGTGTTCAGAGGAAGGGGCAGGTTTTGAGGGCAATTCACAGCTATGTGCCTTGTACAGTAAGAAAGTATTTAAAATTTGGGTTTTTTTTTAAGTGGTTATATCTCCATTTATTTCTTTTCACTTTTTATTAATTTTATTGAGAAACAAATAGCAGAGACAGTTTCAAAACTGATTAATGGGACAGTTTCAATAATTAATACATTGCATATTGTTGTCTTCGTAGTGGTTATTCATAGTACAAGATGCAGACATAATATCCTGTCGAAACACTGTTAGTGCAAATCTTCTTATTGAAGAAAGATAGCTGTATATCTGTCCTATCTATTTTGTACATACAGGTACACAATGGTCCTTCATTTGTGTCCCATGTTTTTTTTAATAATTTTATTGAGAAACAAATATCAATCAGACAGTTTCACAACTGATTACTGGCACATTTTTAGTAATTAATACATTGCATATTGCCTTAGTGGTTATTCATTGTACAAGATGCAGACATGATATCCTGTCTCAAACACTATTATACAAACCTTTCTGTTCATTGAATTAAGAGAGTAGAGCTGTATATCTATCCTAACTATTTTGAGTATACAGATACAAAAGGGTCGTTCATTTCTATCCCACTTTTTTTGGTTAGTTTTGTCAGAGAAGGGCATTCCACTGTCATTTAAATATTGTAGGTGCTTGAATTCAGCAGAATCTCTCGATAGAGTCCAGTAGTCCATAATAGTAGTGGGTTTTCCGTAAGTCTGGCAATGTCCAAAGTTGTTGACTTGAGCTTTTTACAGCTCAGCATATTAATGTGGCTTTACTTTTTATACTTCGTTTTCCTACTTTTTTGCTGGATAGTTAAGACCAAGATAAAGCAAGACCTATAGAACAAGAAATGTAACTTTTGTATCTGATAAAATTTGTATTTAAACATTCACCACTTTTGATTACACATTGTAACTACAAAGGTGAAATACATATTTCATTTGTTAAATTGTCCTTAGTGTGAGTAATAATGCTCTTAAGAGTTTGTGCTTGGGGCCAGGGAGATGGCTCAGTGGAATAAACGCTTCCCTGGCAAGTGCAAGGGCCTGAGTTCAATCCCTGGTTCCGCAAAAAAAAAAAAGAGTTTGTGCTTTATATACTTCACTAACATTCCTCCTGTGAGACTCACGGGTCAGTTAAATGCTGAATAAAGTGGTGAGCACGGCCAGGGCTGAGGCCACCCGACCCAAGACAAGCAGGAGATGAGCCACAGCATACACCCAGGCTCCGAGCAGGGGAAGCCTAGCTGACGAGTGGCCCCAGGGCCGTGTGGAAGCAGCCCGGCACCGTGGCGTTCCCGCCGTGGGGAGAGTGGCCCAGTAGCCACGTAGTGCTGTTTCCCTTCGCAGGAGAGTTTGGCTCTGTGATGGAAGGAAATCTGAAGCAGCAGGATGGGAGCTCTCAGAAGGTGGCGGTGAAGACCATGAAGTGTGAGTGGGCTGCTGCTCTTCCTGCACACGCTGTGTGTTCTTTATGCATGAAGCACTGCCTTGTTCCTCTCAGCGTCTCTAGCGTTCTCTCTGTCTGCTTCTGTCACCACCATCATTGCCACCGCCATCATCAACATCATCGGGCATCGTGGGCATCATCGCTTGGCCGAGCTGATGATTCCAAAGTAAGGCATGATGAGCTGCTGAAGCAGGGATGGATGAGATCAGATCGCTGATCTCTCTAGTGCCTCATCTGAAGGTTTTTATCCTAAATCGTCTTTAATAGGAGAAAGATTCTCACATAGGAAGCCACAGAATGTCATGGACACTGCACTGCGCTGGCCACCCTCATGGGCGATTTCAGTCACTCATTTTCCTTACCACAGCCTGACTTTATGACTAACTATTTACTTCTAAGTGTGGTAAAATGTACCGTAGGTAAAAGCTGAGCCCGTTGTTGAGCGCAAAGGTCAATGGCATGAAGCACAGTGACGCTGTGGTGTGACTGTCTCTATCTGCTATCTCCAGAACTTATCTTGTGACCCTACAGCTATGTCCATTACACACTGAGACTCCTCCCGTTCCCCAGATTCTTAGCCCCCTCCATTCTACTTCCTGTCTAATTTGACAATTCCAAGTACCTCTTACAGGTCAATCATTTATCCTCTTGTGAGTGATTTCATTTCATAATAAGCATAATAATGAATTTTAAGCAGCTTTCTTAAATTAGTTCCATGCCCAAAACTTGGTATCAAAGTACACCCGACTCAGAAGGTGTGACTAGAGCCAGGGAGCTAGCTGAGCGGCGCAGCCCCTGCCTGGCAAGCACAAAGTCCTGGGTTCAGTTTCTGGTCTCCCCATTCTCCCCCACAAAAAACTGTGACTAATCAACCAGACTTGTAGGAGATAGGGACAGAAAGGGAGAGTTGTGACGTTTGTTTTTAAATGTAAAATGAGTGTAGCAGATCAGTTGGAACTGACCTCAGTTTGGGGGATTTTTTTTCTACAGATAGACTTTAATTTTTAGAGCATCTTTAGCTTTACAGAAAAATTGAGCTGAAACTATAGTTTCCATACATTACTGTTCCCCTATGTCCATTTCCCATTTCATTAATATTTTTCAGTAGTGTTTATATGTTTTACAGTTGATGAACACATGACAACACATTATTAATTGAAATTCTTAATTTGCACTTGAGTCCACCCTTTTGTTGTATGGGGTTATGGATTTTAACAAATATAGAAGAAGCCTGTGTCCACCGCTGTAGCATCATCCAGAAAGCCTCATGGCCCTGAAGGTCCCCTGTGTGTCCCTACGGGTTCCTCTCTCCCCACAACCCCAGTGACCCCTGTCAACCTCAGTTGCTTTCTGTCTGTATGGTTGTGCCTGTTTCTGATTTTAGTTTTACAGAACAAAATTGCCACTGCCCCGCCCCTACGCCTTAACTGAGTAAATGAACTGGGCCTAACATTTGTCATCTGTTCCTTTAGTGGACAACTTCTCACAGCGAGAGATCGAGGAGTTCCTCAGTGAGGCAGCTTGCATGAAGGACTTCAGCCACCCTAACGTCATCCGACTCCTAGGTACCTTGGGGAAGCGCGAGATGGGGGCCATGGGAGGCTTGGCTAATGGTACGGTGTGCCCAAGGGGAGAGACTTTGGTGCATGTAAGTTCATGCATTGCATCACCCCCCAAAATAGCGTGGGTTTCTTACCCCAGACACTTCTCCTTATTTATGCTTCTCTGTGCTGAGGCTCCTATGGATTAGCATTCTAGGTCAGGGTACGTAGAGTGTCCACGGAGTTTAACGAGACTATCGGTGAAAGGCAAGACGCACAAGTTGGTCATGTGACAATCTTTGTTGATTTAAGGTTATTCATATGTTAGATAGAAGTGAAGTAAAGCTATAAAAGTGAATAAATTCAGTAAGTCATCTTTGAGAAATAATTTATGAACATATTTCAAAGGACTGATTTATGATCATGGTACATTGACCATTGAGTATTTCGTCAGAGTGGTGTAATGTAATTTGGCTTTACAACTCTGTTATGCAAGGAGTACAAAAAGGAGATGAGGTATCAGTGGGTACTGTGTAAGTATATTATTATTATTTTTTAATTTGGCAGTGCTGGGCATTGAACCCATTGAATGTGTGTGCTGAGCCAGTACTCTCACTGAGCCCCCATGACACTATTCTAAGAGAAGGGGACAGGACCTGTGAGATAGCTCAGCAGACTAAGCACCTGCTTAGGTAAGCACAGGGACCAGGGTTTGATCCCCACCACCAAAGGCTGCACTGGCCCCACCCCCAGGCATGCTGAGCTGGCCACCGACACCAGACATGATGGTGTATGCCTATAGTCCCAGAGCTGGTGAGGCTGAAAACAGGAGGATCACTACGAGTCTGAGCTGCGAGTGAGACCCTGTACCAAATATATTAAAAA